TTACTTAGGTTTTTAGATATCTCCTAAAAAACCCCTTAACCTTTAACCTCAAGTTAACTTCTAACTCTAGTTAACTTCTTAACCATAAGCTTCTTAACTCAAGCTTACTTCAACAACAGTCACTAAATTGATATTGATTTTTGACTTGTTCAACAACTGCTCCTCTCTCCCTCCAATCGACTTCATCTGGCAAATTATCTCCTTCCTTGTACCGATACCTATTGCTCGTATCCCATTCCCATTCCAATGATAAGCTTGTCCTTTCTACCTTTCCCCCCAAGTAAATAGATTGATACTCATCATCCGTTAGATCTGCAAACTGGTTCAACCTGAGTTCGTAAGTCCGGTTCGAAACCAAATTATGTGTTTCAATGAGCTTCAAGTTGTCTTTGAAGACCATGAACCGTCTCTCCTTCTCTCCAGGACCTTATAGTTCTTCTCATTATCCAAAAGCCATCGCTCGTACATCTTTCTAGCCTCTCCTTCATTGTGCTGCAACTTTGTTGCCGTGACGCCGCGGATGGACAAGGAAATTAGTAACACCGAGAGGGACAAAAGAGCTAGGCTTATAAAACTTATAGCCATTGCTCTTTTACTTTTCTTTTTCTGTTCTTTAATTTAGTTTCACTTGATATTTCTCCAACTGTTAAGTCGAAGTATTTATAAAATGGGAAATTTTGGTCGTTCAGAGAAGTGGAGAGCGAGAAGGAAGGTCGGATAGATTCACCATCATATTTTATTATTTGAACATTTAAACAAAACAAATTATTTTTAAATATTGTTTCAAAATTAAAAGGCACGTTAGACCATCTCTAATGGTCATTTTTTGGGTAATGTCTTTAAATTTTTTAATAATTAATTTTAATGTGATTTATTGTTGAATGTCTTTAAAGATTGTGAAAGTGTCTCTTTTTTTTTTTTTTTTTTTTGTCAACCACACATTAATTAATAATTAATTCCTTGATTGGTTGCCCAATTAGGAGGAGTAGAGTTTACAAAAGTAACTTCAGAAAATAAAAGTCTAGAAGAACGGGCTAAGCAGTCCGCTTGAACATTACATAAACGAGAAATAAGAGAAAGCGAGAAGAAAGGGAAAGAGAGACGGAGAAAACCAAACTCGTCTAGAAGATTGGAGAAAGCAGGCCATTCATCTGGTGAGTGTATCATCGAGACTAACTCCGAGCAGTCTGATTCAAACACCTGACAATCGATCCCTCTTGAAAGGATATTCTTCATAGCCCAAATTAAAGCTTCCATCTCCGAGTGAAGAGGGGAGGGACACCTCCGAAGGCACTTTGCACCGAGCAGTATCGTTTGATCATTTCCTTGAAAACACCACCATCCTATACCCATTGTTGGATCTGAATTTTTCCAAGAACCATCAATCCGACATCTTATAGATTGAACCGGTCGTTCCAAAGTTTCCGTAGTAGAACTAGTTTCGATCGGATCCAACTGAGCTTCTTCCCACATTAATTTTTCACTCAAAGCATGATTTAAAATATCTCTGGGTTCAGATTGTAATCCCTTGAAAACCTTTTTATTCCTATCTTTCCAGATGAACCACAAAATCCAAGCATAACTGAAAGTTTTCTCTCCCCCATCTAGATTAGATGGTAACCTCCAATAAAGATAATCTAGATTTGAGAATTCCGAGGTTAGAGGAAAACTACCTATTGCCGTAGGTATATCTGATAATTCCCATATTTTCTGAGAATGAGTGCACTCAAATAAAGCATGATTTATTGTTTCCTCTGCCATCTCACACCTTTTACAGAGAAAGTCACATTGGATCCCTCGATGTGCTAATTTTGAAGTAACTGCTAGAGATCCCGTAGCAATTTGCCATAAGAAATGTTTTAGTTTTGGAGGGGCTTTGACTTTCCAAGCTTGTGCTTGTAAATTCTTATAATTCGGGCCCCATTCGATCGTTTCTGTCATCTCTCTAGCAACCCGATAGCCTGATTTTACTGTATATCTTCCCGATCTTGTATGATGCCAGATAAGCCTATCTGGCTTATAAACTTTGCTAATAGCCAATCCCCTAATAAACTGAATATCCACTGGATCCAAAAATTCTTGTAAAATAGGAAGATGCCATTCTTTAGTAACCGGATTAATTAAATGGTTAACCATCAAACTTGGAAGTAATGTTTTTCCTCTTCCATTTTCGGGCCGTGGGTTAACATCAGGAATCCAAGGATCTCGCCATACCGATAGATTGAAACCCGATCCTAGTGACCATCTAGCTCCCACTTCAACTAATCTTTTAGTAGAAAAAATACTCTTCCATCCAAATGATGGAGAGTTTGGTTTTTTTGCCTGTAAAGGATGAATATTCCTGAAATATCTGCTTTGTAGCACCCGAGCTACTAAAGAGTTCGGATATTGGATTAAACGCCAATATTGTTTAGCCAACATGGCATCATTAAAAATGTCTAGGGAATGAAAGCCTAAACCTCCTTCTTCTTTATCCTTACACATTTTTTCCCATGCTATCCAATGGATCCCACGATCTCTCCCATTGGAACTCCACCAATAATTAGAAATAGCACTTGTTAACTTAGAAGTTAACTCTTGAGGTAGTTTAAAACAAGACATAACATAGGTTGGTAGTGCCAAAGCCACTGATTTGATCATTGTTTCTTTCCCACCTTTCGACAGAAATTTAGCTGACCAGCCATTAATCCGTTCATTAAGTCTTTCCCGGACATAATTAAAGATTTTACTTTTTGAGCCTCCTAAGCTCTCTGGTATACCCAAATAGGTACCCATTCCACCCTCTTTACTGATTCCAAGGGTGTTTTTAAGTTGATCTCTTTTTTGGTTTGCTACGCGCTTACCAAACATAACCGATGATTTACTGAGATTTATCTCTTGCCCTGAAGCTTTACCATAATTCCCAATAATATCCATCACCGTTTTGCATTGCTCTGAATCCGCTTTACAGAAAAAGAGACTATCATCCGCAAAAAGCAGATGTGAAATTGCTGGGCTTCTTTTCGCTATCTTAATTCCTGTCAGCTTCTTCTCCCTTTCCGCCTTTTTAATATTTGCAATCAGTACCTCCGTACATAAAATAAACAAATAAGGCGATAAGGGATCACCTTGCCGTAAACCTCTACTGGGAATGATATTTCCTCTTGGTTCCCCATTCAATAAAACCTGATACGAGACCGAACTAACACTCCACATGATCCAAGAAACCCAATTAGAATTGAATCCCAAACGTGTCATAATTGCCTCTAAAAAGTCCCATTCTATCCTATCATACGCTTTGCTCATGTCTGTCTTAATTGCCAGGAAATCCGTTCTACACATTCTATTAGTCCGTAAGCCATGAAACATTTCCTGAGCTAATAAGATGTTGTCTGTAATAAGTCTCCCAGAAACGAATGCCGATTGTGTTTCAGAGACTAGCCGAGGTAAAATGTGTTTAAGCCTCAAGCAAAGAATTTTTGAAATTATTTTGTAACTCACATTGCAAAGACTTATTGGCCTAAACTCTGCCATCTTCTGTGGCCTTTCCGTCTTTGGAATTAAACAAATATTTGTTTCATTTATTCTCTTATCAAAACGTCCAGTTCGGAAAAAATCTCTGACCAATCCTACCAAATCTTCCTTTAAAGAATGCCAAAACCTTTGATAAAATAATGCTGTCATACCATCTGGACCTGGTGTCTTTTCTGGATGCATTGAAAATAAAGCTTTCCTAACTTCTGCTTCGGTAACCTCTTTGGTTAGTTCCCTATTCATACTTTCCGTAATAATTGGAGACACTTCATTTACCATCTCAGCAATTCCATTTGTATTGGAGACCTTAAAAAGTTCTTTAAAATAATTAGTTGCTATCTCCTCCATCCCTCTTTCTGATTCCTCCCAAACATCATTAGGTCCATATAGACCTGATATCTTATTTCTTGCCCTTCTTTTTTTTGTAGAAGCATGAAAGTATTTGGTATTTTTATCCCCCACTTTTAACCAAAAATTTCTGCTCTTTTGTTTCCAATAAATTTCTTCCTCATGATAAGCTTCCTTTAATTTACTTTCGATTCTTTTTATTTCCTCTTGTGGAATCGAGTCATCATTCTTTGCTTCTTCCAAAGCCCTCTTAAGCGAATAGATATTAGCCTGACCCGTGGGAATATTATTTTTCCTCCACCATGAAATGGAATTTCTACAATTCTTTATTTTATCCACAAAAACAGGAATTCTAAAATTTCTTGTTCGATTCCAACCTGAATTTATGGCTTCAGTAAGGCCATCCTTTCCAACCCATCTTTTATCAAATCGAAATTGACGTTTTCTTCTACCCAAAGTTTTCCCACAACTCAATAAAATCGGTCTATGATCAGATCCAATCATATCCAGATAATCCACTTTTGAATAAGGAAATAAGTTATGCCAATCCTCATTTCCCAATGCCCGATCCAGTCTGCACCTGACTATCTGTTGGTTCCTATTACCTCTCCATGATAGTTGTTTACCATAGCATGGAAATTCTAACATACCGTTATTTCGAATCATAAGATTAAAAGGAACAAAAGAAGCTGCTGATCGTAAATTACCACCTGTTTTTTCATGATTTCCCGTCAACTCATTGAAATCACCTACCATTAGCCATGGTTTTTTCCGGTTAGAACCCATCTCTGTTATTTTATCCCAAACCATTTCGCGTTTTGTGGCAACAGGATCACCATAAACGAACGACATAAACACTATTTGTTTCCCAAAAAATGCTTTAACATCAATAATTCGATTGCTTGCATAAAGAATCTCCAATTTTAATTCATTATTATAAAATAAAGCTAATCCTCCACTAACACCACGAGGATCAACTGAATACAAATTATTAAAACCAAAAGAAGTTTGAAATTTCTTTAAATAAGAAAGACATTTTTTTGTTTACGATAAAAATAAGATATCCGGCTTGTGCTCTCTCCATAAATCCTTTAAGAAGTTCTCTGTCAGTTCAGCCCCTATTCCATGACAGTTCCAGCTCAAGATCTCCACGTATGAGCCGGTGGTTTCGGGAGATCCACCATCCCTTTCTTCAAATTACGATTTGCTCTTCCAGCTTTTGTCACCTCCTTAACCTTATTCTTATCAGCAACTTTTTGTTTGATACCATCATCTGCAGATTTAAGAGACATTGCTTTAGCCAATAAACGTTTCCCTGGAGAAGCCACAATCCTAGAATAATCCCTATTACCATTTATTCCCCGAATTCCCTGGCTACTAGTTCCCTTAAAATTCTGAATCTTTTTACTATCAAGAGTAATACCTTTCAGCCCTTTACGAACCAAGCCAATATCATCAGATAACACATTAGAGATTTGCACATTACCTTGTAAGGCAATCATGTTCTCCTCATGGGTCTCATTGCCTTCATCTTCCGTAGTCTTCTCTGCCATTACTTGAACCTCTATGTCCTCCTCAGCATGGTACTCGCCATCTTCAAGGAGATCATCCGTACTCTCCGAGAAATTAATCCCTACTGTAAGGCTCTTGTCTTGAACCTCTGGTACATCTTCCATCACCGAATCCTTCTTCTCCTCTCCTAAATCTGGAATCTTAGAAACATTGTCAACCTTGTGAGAAGCCTGGGATACCTTAGAGATTGCCTTTGGTTGATACAGTGGCTTAGGCCACACTGGCCCTGCACCCTTCTTTGTGAATTCTGTTCCTTGAACAGAGTAATGAGAATCCATCAAGCCCTCCATAGCCACTTCTTTCCCAGCCACTTCACTGTTCTCAGCCCAAGTCCCAGGGAAACTCTTTTTTTCCTTCCAACCTGATGCATGATTTTTGTCATACCGCCTGTGAGACTGCCTACTGTTATCACCCCTCTCCAATTGGTAATGGAAACCACCACTAGGTTCCTCACCAGAGAATTCCAAAGCTCTCTTTGCTGCAGGTTTTCGTGGCTTTTCCCAGCCTCCTTCATTACCTTGAGGCATCTGTTTTACCATTTGTTGCTAAGTAGATATTTTTAGACATTTTTCACACATTTTAAAGATACCCATCACCAAATCATATTAAATTTAATTATTAAAAACATTAAAGACACTCACGAAAACATAATCAATGTAGATGACCTTAGAGCCCATATGAACACATTAATAAACATTATTAATGGAGAAATATTATATAAATATATTTCTTTTTGTTTATGTTATAAATCTTCGTATGGGCACTACTAATTGAGAAACATTATTTTAAAATAATCGTTTGTTTGTATTATCATTATTACCGGGCGACGTTATACGTGAGAAAATAAATGATAGCCCACAATCCACATGGCCACATTATACGTGAGAAAAACCGATGATTAAAAAATTTGGTAAAAACATTAATTAGGCATTATGAAATAATGCACTGCAATGCATGTGTTTACGTATTGATTTTTTCTCTAGGTATGAGATTTTCTTTAGTTTAATGCAATTTCTTGTTTTCTTCTCTTTAATTTCATTTTTCCTCATCAAATCTAACATGATTAAACACATATACTCTCTCTATATCAAAAATTTTGATTTTATAGAGTTTCACACTAATTAAGAAAAACATTTTTAATGTTTAGTTATAAATGCACTATTTATTCATATTAAATCATTTTTTCATAACTATTAGCCAATAGTAATTCATCAAATTTTAAAATTCTCAATTGATGATCTTGAAATTTACAATTTATTCATAATAATTGATTAAAATTTACAGAAAAATCAAATTTTTTTATACAGAAATAAAACTTCGGAAAATTATTATTTATGACACAGAGAGAGTATATATTCCTTATGGATCTTTGTGTTAACATCATGATTAATTAGCGGCCTATAAGATTTTTATGAAATTGAGTTAAAATTTGTTAATTAGGTTAGAAAATTGGAAAATAAAAAAAGTTTCGGTAAATTGATATTAAAAAAAATATATATATTTTGTGCTTGCTAGTGTAAAAGAAGAGAAAACCCCTAATTCGATGATCTACCTAGTTCCTGATCTACTTGAAGAAATTTGCCTTGGATTGCCGTTGAAATCTATCCTCAAATTCAAAACCGTCTCAAAATAATGGAGATCTATCCTGGAATCGACGAGTTTTGCGGAGAGGCGTGTGAAACTACAAAAGAAGCGGAAAATCCTGGCGGCCGGAGGAAACCGGACCGAGTCGAAATTCGAAAGGGACGAAGAGATGGAGATGGTCTATTTACACTGCCACGACGTCACACGACCTTGGTTGATGACATGTGACGGTTTGGTTTGCCTTCCCGTACCAGCAGGTTGCGTCAACGTTTTGAACCCTTCCACCGGAAAATCCCTTGTATTGGGCAAGCGTTAATGGATCCATCTATTGGTTGGATGTTCTTACTTTTCAGATACTAGCTTTGGATCTTCACACAGAAGAGTTTCGTGATGTTCCGTTTCGTAATCTTCCTTCAAGACCGCGTTCACTAGCGATCACAGATCAGCTGGTGAACTTTGACGACCGTAGCCATATCCACAATCCATTTTAAGTCTTGGACATTAGAGATATGGACCATGGATGCACAAGAAGAAAGATGGAGCATGACTTACCCATACGTTTATCCGGTAGTGATCTTTACCGTCAACCATCGTCAATGAATTTCAGACCAGTGACGGTCACTAAGCAAGGGAATCTTTTCTTCCATGACAACGAGAATAGGTTGTTCAAATATTATCCAAAGATTAACCCCCTTCGTTGCATCTCAAGATACTTGGGTTATATCTCCTTTCGTTGAAAATTTGGTCCCATTTGAACATCATAATTCTGTTCCCATAACATCCGGGTACCAATATGAAATTCAGTATCTAGACGAGCATGAGAGAATTAATGAGCAGAGCTCCCGGATATCCAAAGTTTTAAGATGGATCAAATTGCAAACCCCAACTATATTACTTACAACAAGTGTTGTGTCTCTGGTAATTTTTCGCCATTATTGTGTTTTATTTAGGTCTTGATTTTAGTATTTACTATATTCGGACCCGCACGTAGGTGAGGGATTATGTTTGTAAACATTTTTATCGATATAGTAATCGATATTGAGTTTGGTTTTCGATTTGGTTTTAATCCAATTTACAAATGTTTGAATGTTTGAAATAATAATGGATTTACTTGTGTCTTAAAACTCATACCAACGCAACCCGCCGCGGTCAGATCGGGATCTAAGGTGGGCTAAATTAGTGGTCAATGAGATAATATTAAACTTGGGTATACAATTGTGAAAGACGATTAGAACTCCTTGAACCGAATATGATAGTCATTCAAACATAGTGGTGGACATATAAGCCACAAAAGATAACAACGCTCACCCGGCTTGTGAATAGAGCTTGAACACCAAGTATATATCAAAGCAAGGCCAAACTAATCAACTGAAAAATACATAAAAGGACCAATTTAAACACACTTGGTGACAATAAATTGGATGCCGAGTTCGTCTTGATTGGGTATACAGGTGCTACTGCGACTGCACATTTCCCGGTTGGTTCATTGAAGTTACGTTGGAGCCTAAGGTATCCGCCTTCTCCCCACCCTGGTCCCCAAGAATTACGAATAAGCCAGTAGTCTCCTTCATCTGATGATGTCCCATACCCCACAATTAGCACATTATGGTCTCCCCACAAATTACTACATGGTCCTTTATATACACCCTGAGAAATAACACAAAAAGAAAATTTGATCACAACTTAGTATTGGATTTTTAAAAAAATCCAAGGGTGACAATGTCATTTGGAATTACAGATTTGTAGTCGCTCATGTTTGCAGCTGATATCATAACACTAATAGGTTGATAAGAAACAGCTTTCTTCAAAGACATCTCATCATTTACAGGAACAACTTCATGACCATTAATGGTAACAACCCGAGTGGTTTTCATCTGCAAGATAAAAACATAGATTACCAAATTGAAACCATAAATTAAAACTACAAAAATAGTCATTTATGTTGGTCTTAAAAACCTCAATGGCCTTGCACGCGGCAGTATCATCGCCAGTATAACCGTAATCTTCATCGGTTACTATACCACCGTTTTCTTTAATGAACTCAAAGGCCCATACTGCTCCACCTCCAGCACATCCAAAGTTGTCTTTCCCTCTATCGCAGTCAATGAGTTCTTGTTCCGATAAAGATAATAGTTCTCCAGTTGTGATCTGGTTTATACCTTCCACCGCTCCAGTCGCCGCAAACGCCCAACAACTTCCTATTTATATAAACCGCAAATCTCAACCGCAATCGCAATCCAAAAATAATGCTAAAAATATTGAAAATCATACCACAATCTCCTTGTCTTTTGACTCTTGGAACAACTGCTCCTCTCTCCCTCCAATCTACTTCATCAGGCAAAATATCTCCTTCTTTGTACTGATACCTCTCCGCTACATCTGATAGGCTTTTCTTTTCTATCTTCCCACCCAAGTAACTAGCTTGAAACTCATCGACCGTCAGATCCGAAAACTGGTTCAACCCGCGGTCGTAACTCCGGTTGGGATCCGAATTGTGTTCTTCGATGTGTTTCAAGTTGTCTTTGAAGATCTTGAACCGTCTCTCCTTCTCTCCAAGACCGTTATAGTTCTTCCCATGCTCTACAAGCCATCGCTCGTAAATCGTACGCACCTCCGCTTCATTCCGATGCGACTCTGTTGCCGTGACGACGCCGAGAGACAAGGAAATTAGTAACACCGAGAGGGTCAAAAGAGCTAGAGTTCTAAAACTTATTGCCATTTCTCCTTCTGGTTTTGTTTTTTTTGTTTGACTTGATATTTCTGCAACTCTTAAGTCAAAGTATTTGTAGAAAGAGAAATTTTGGTTGTTGAGACTTGAGAGGAGTGGAGGGCGAGAGGGTTAGTCATATAGATAATAGATGTGTTTTTCGTATGGGCTCTAAACTATATTATAGGCCTGATGCAACTAGTCAAAACTATATTATAGGCATTATTATTATTTCTCTATTATTTTTTTCCTATGACAAGCATTATTTAATATAGTTTTGACTTGAAAAATCACATGGCAAAGTAGAAACTAACTTTTATGGTTTGGCAAAAATAATGAATTTGGACGAAAATGTCATTCGTTCGTTTGCGTCCAGTTTCAACGAAACAAGGAAAGTCCATCTCGGCCGGCCTGCGATGGGCATTTAAGTTTGTGAGACTGCGACGGGCCGGCCCGCTAGAACCGCGGACAAAAATGATATGTTCATGTCCGCCCCGCTAAGTCCAACGGGTTAGCGGGCCGGCCCGCGGGCTTATTTTTAATATTTTTAAAATAAATAAAAAAAAGAAAATTAATTATTAAAATTTGAGATTAACAATTTTTAAATTAAAAAAAACTTTTTGTATTAATTTTTTTGTAAATCTTATAATTTTATACATTAAATTTCGTTATATGTTCATATATTTCACATATATATTTTCAGAATTATTTAAAAGTATTTATTTATTTATATTAATTAATTGTTTTTATTAAATATTTGTCGTCCGTGGGCCGGCCCTCAAATCCGCGGACAAAACCCGCAAAAACCCGCAATCTGCTTGGGCTTGTCCGCGAAACCCGCTATTTTATGGATATGAAATATGATGTCTAATCCCGCCCCGCCGTGGGCTACTTGGACAAAGCCCGCGGACTATCGGCCCGCTTGACATCTCTAAGGAAAGATGCGTAAAATTTGTATATTTCGACATAGGAAAGAGAGATGCAAGAAAGGGTGAGACAATATACATGTGTTTGTGTCAGAGAATTAAATAAATATATGTTACTATTTCAATAAAATAAATACGTTTTAATGTTTCATCTTCACATAATTACAAACTTTTAATCATAAATATAGGAGTATGTTGGTCAGGTTTAGTTTAATTAGATTGGTTTAGTCTGGTTTACTTCTTATACCACACTTGTATATAATAGTGCAAATTGTATAGATCTCAGATTTAAGAAATTAACTAGATCCTGACCCACACGTACGTGCGGGATTTTATATTTTAAGAAATTATTATAATAAATTATAATTCGATTTAGATTATTTTGTTGTTTTGTGATACATATTGTACTGTATATATTATAATGTAAACATAAAAAATGTATCTTTTTTATAATGGAAAAATCATTGCCAGCTACACGAACTATACGCCAACACATCACCACACATGCAGACTATTTTAATGTTTCGCTAACTACACGAACTATTGGTATTACATACGGACATCTCCGAACTATCATCGGTTATGTGTACAACACCATAACCATCATTACCAAATAATATAAATGTCTTGTTAACTACATGAAGTATTTCTTTTTTTTGTCAACTACACGAAGTATTTTCATCAATTTTTTTTTAAAACTAATAAGTTAAATAAAACTATATAATATATCAATGTAAATTATATATGTACATTATAACTATTCTAACTTTAAAATTTTAATGTAATAAAGACTAAACTAGTTCCATAAAAAATATATGTGTTCATTAAAAATTTGTTAATTAACTTAAACCTATAATGAACATGTATAATTTAATTAAGTGACACTTTTAAAAATTTAGTTAAATTAATTTCATATAAAAAATATGTGTGCATTAAAAATTAGTTAGTTAATTTAACTTAAAATTATAAGGGATACTGCTTATGTAGAATTTAAACTTTAAAATTTATAATGCATATATATAATTAACAATAGTGTATTATTTACTTTTAGTTATTTTTTCATTTTGTAATTTAGTTTTAAAAAAATGATGGAAATATTTTGTGTAGTTAACAATACATTTATATTATCTGGAAATGATGGTTATGGTATATATAATTTACATTGATATATTATATAGTTTTATTTAACTTATAGTGATGTATAATTTAACTAAGTGACTATTTTAAATTTTTAACAATTTAATATAATAAATATTAAATTAGTTAAATTAATTTAACTTAAAAGTATAATGCATGAAAGTTATAATATATATATATATATAATTTATAATAGTGTAATATTTAATTTTTAGTTATTTTTTATTTTTTAATTACTTTTTAAAAAAAAAAATTGATGGAAAATACTTCGTGTAGTTGACAAAAAAAAAGAAATACTTCGTGTAGTTAACAAGACATTTATATTATCTGAAAATGATGGTTATGGTGTTGCACACATAACCGATGATAGTTCGGGGATGTCCGTATGTAATACCAATAGTTCGTGTAGTTAGCGAGACATTAAAATAGTCTGCATGTGTGGTGATGTGTTAGCGTATAATTCGTGTAGCTGGCAATGATTTTTCCTTTTATAATACAATAGCTAAAGTAGTGATTCATGAGATAAAGTTTGGAGTTTGAAACTAAAGAGTAGAGAAAAATAGTATTAGATGTAAATATATTATAGGTTAAATTGATGTAAAGTAGTGCTATATAAATTTTTTTATTTTATGTATCAAAGTAATAGTTCGATTATTTTCGACTATCGATACTTTAAAAGGCTTGTTGTCAATGATGAAACACATTTTATTTTTATAAGTGTTGAACTATCGGATATGTGAACATCAGTGTTTGTTACTATATTAAAACTTTTAAACGTAGTGATCCATTTTTTTAGTAAATGTATTTTGGGTTAGATTTTATGGGCTTGTAGTAAAGCCATTTATTTGGCCTATTTCGAATTTGTAAATATTTGTGTAATTATGATAAATATTTGGTTACTATTTAAAATTCGTTTGCAAAGCTAAACATACATACAAATATAGTTTCCTTGGCACAACATTAGTGATGTATTCTTAACACTCGTACACCAAAACAAACGTTTGTTACCTTTCTTCACAATTTAATTCTCAACTTTTGGCCCTTTATATGCAATCTTGCTACATTTTAAACAGCAAAAATAATACCAAGAATAGTCCACATGAATTCTGTTGATTTTACACATAATCTTATTTAAAACCACTATTTAAAAAATCCTACAACTATTTCAGAAAGTTCAGACATTGTTTCCGAAGGAATCGATTGAAATACTACTTTTTCAACACTTGCATTTTCTTTGGGATATCTTCTTGGATATCCAAAGCTAATCCATCTTTAGGCAGTCTAATATGTTACAATAAAAAAAAATAGTTAATTATAATTCTGTCAAAAGCAATTATACTATCTATACTATGAA